CCTCCTCCTCCTCCTCCTCCTCCTCCTCCTCCTCCCCGGGGCAGCAGACATAATATGCATGACACGCTGCCGCGGGGAGCCCATCAGCGCGTCACAGCCGAAGAAGCACGAGAGGCTGCGGACAACAGCGAAGGAGCACCACGCTGACGGGCTCCCGACGGCAGCGTGTCATTGCTACATGATGTGTCCCTCCCGAAATCTGCGGCCTACAGCTCCTGACCCCATCCCCGCAGGTAACTGTTCGCACCAGCACGGGCCTCAGAGGCCGAAATCGAGGATAAACGCCAGGACAGAAGCATGTCGTAGGAAATCTGTTCGACGCTCGTTCTGGGGGCCTTCCTGGAGCCTCTCGTTCCACTCATGCGTCGATGCTGCGTCGAACGTCTGTAGACTTGAGTCGAACTTGACCGTCCTTGAATCGAACTTGAGTCGAGCTCGAGGCGAACTCGAGTCGAACTACTGTATGCTCGATCCGGAGTCGAACAAATCCTGCAGGTGGTCAGCAGGAAGGGTCCCAGACCGAGCATCTGAGATGCGGCTCGCCCCGAGGCCCTGGAGCCCGGAGCACTAGACCCCTCGGGAGCGGCCAAGAGGGGGGTGTCCAAGAGGGGGGGGTGCAAATCATGACCGGCGGCATGTGCGCGGCCCAGCGGGGGGGCCAGGGACGTGATGAAGTAAGAAGGGGCGCCATGAGATCTGGGGAAATATCATGGCCCCCGCCATGATATCCCTCCCCCCTCTAGTCATCCCCCCCCCTCTTTTCCGCCCCCGAGCCCCACCTTCCCGAGGCATGCGTCGAGCCAGATGGATATGTGATGGCCCCGGGGCCCGACGTCGGGTGAAAACGCCCCGCGCGAGCAACGCCCGCATAAATTTATTATTATTATTATTATTATTATCATTATTATTAGTATTATTATTATTATTATTATTATTATTATTATTATTATTAATATTATTATTATTAGTATTATTCGTATTATTATTAGTAATATTAGTATTATTATTATTATTCTTATTACTATAATTATTATTATTATTATTATTATTATTATTAGGTATCTGCTATTTCTGTTTTTTGCCAGCATCTAACATATGGGAGGCCGAGGTCGAGGAAAGACGCCGCCCCGACTTCGGATCCGCCACAGGACGGAAATCGGCACCCTCGAGGAGCTGGGAAGGTGGGGCGGACATTCCCGCCCGACATGCCAAGTCGCCCCAAATACGGCGGATCAGGAGTCAGGCCTAGACTGGAAAAAGCATCTCGTAGGAGCTGGCGCGCGCGGCGGCTTCGGCCACGCACCGACGGCCATGGGAAGGGCCACTCGGACCCAGATCTCCGCGGTGCCTGTGCTTTTTGTCAAGCCTCCAACTCTTTAGGCTTCTAGGTTCGAGCGATTCGGGCGCTTCGTCGGTTCTCGGCGAATATGTGCAGCCTCGGGTCGGGATCCTCTCCAGCAGCTGCGCCTCGCCGAGGGCGCTCCAGCAGGAGATCCGTGTGTCCCGAACGGCCGCGGGGGAGCCGAGCTCTGACCCGAGAGCCAACGGGCAACGTGGGGGAGGAGGAGGAGGAGAAGGAGGAGGAGGAGGAGGAGGAGGAGGAGGAGGAAAAGGATGAGGAGGACGACGAACAGGATGAAGAGGAACAGGAGGAGGAGGAGGAGGAGGAGGAGGAGGAGGAGGATGAGGAGGGGGAGGAGGAGAAAGAGGAGGGCGAGGGGTGAGGACGAGGAGGGACTGTGGCCCGAAGGCCACGAGACCCAGACCTCTCTCCAGTGGGAGGCGTGGCCCGAGCCGAGATCGCGGCCTCGCCAGCTCGAGGCTCTGCCGCTCGGCCTCGGCCTCGGCCCGCGCCTTCTCCAGCAGGCCCCTGCCGTCCTGCCGTGGCCGGAGGGGGCGAGGCCGAGCAGCGGCGGCAGGGGCACGGCGGCGGCGACGGCGGCCCAGCGGCCTCGGGAGGCGAAGGCGCTGCATCCGGGGAGGGGAGGGGGGGGGAGAGGGCGCGGCCGCAGAGGCCGAGGCCAGGGCAGGCAGGGCCGCAGGGGCTGGAGGCCCCGAGGAGGAGGAGGAGGAGGAGGAGGAGGAGGAGGAGGAGGAGGAGGAGGAGGGGAAGCAGGAGGAGGAGGAGGAGGAGGAGGAGGAGGAGGAGGAGGAGGAGGAGGAGGAGGAGGCAGCGAGCGTGGGCTCGTGGAGTTCCATGGACTTGCAGACCCTATCTGGCCGGCTGGGACTCAGGTGTTGGTTGGTCGCTTGGGGGGCGATCGAGCACCGCGCGAACTGCTCCTGGCTAGGACCCTTGAACTCGAACAGCAGCAGAACTGCCGCCTCTGCAGGTGAAAGGGGGAAGGGCAATGGGGCGGGGACGGAGGCAAGGGGAAAGATGGGGGCGGAGCTCCTCCCCTCGCAGCGCCACGCCTCCGACCCTGCTCATGGGGTCCGAAGGCGGCCTGCGTGGAGGCTCGCACTGCCAGCCTCGAGCCGCGCCGCTGCCGCAGCAGGGCCGACCCGTACATGTCGAGATCCGGGTGCTATTCCCAAGCCCTCGTGGAAGGCTTTTCTTTGTTTCTTTCCAACCTCATCGTGTTTGTGAAAACAAAGGGAAGGAGGCGACACCCCTCTGTTTTTGACCAAACCTGCAACGCGTTAGGAAGCAGGAGGTCGGGGAGACGCGGGATACCGCGACTCCAACCCCCGCCCACACCATCCAGGCCTTGCTGAACGGGGAGAGTGGGGGGGCGGGGGCGCAGTGCGCCAAGTGGCAGGAGCTGGAACCAAGAAAAATGCCCTCGTGGAAGGTCCGGGTAACGCGGGTCTAAGAATGGTTGGGACTCCGTGGGGCCAAGAGTCCGCCGACCATGTCGACGTGTGGAGGGCGCGTCGCCGTCGTCGTCGTCGTCCTCTTCCTCTCCCCCCTCGCCGCCGTCTCCGTCGCCGTGGCCACGTCTTTTCCTCGAGTCCTTCTGTTCCCGTGTCCAGCGCCGAAACAGCAATGACAGACGTTGAGATGGAATCTAAGGGAAGCCCTTTCCCCTTGATCCCCTCCCAAGCCCTCTCGGGGGGGCGGTCCCGGGGGGGTCCCGGGGGTGGTCCCGCCGGGGGGGGGGTCCAGCTAGGGGGAGGTCCAGCGGGAGGGGAGGTCCCGGCGGGGGTGGTTCCGGGGGGTGTCCCGTGTCAGAATGCAACCCCTCGGGTGGGGTGGCCCTGGGGGGGAGGGGGGTCCAGGGAAAGGGCTCGGGGGGGAGGGGGGGATCCCGGGTCAGAACACCACCCCTCCCGGAAAATCCCGGGGCGTCGCCGTCGTCGTCGTCGTCGTCGTCGTCGTCGTCGTCGTCGTCGTCGTCGTCGTCGTCGTCGTCGTTGTCGTCGTCGTCGGCATCGTCATCGTCGTCGTCGTCGTCTCCGTCGTCGTCGCCGTCGAGGTCGTCGTGGTCGTCGTGGTCGCCGTCGTCTTTCAGGGTCGGCGGCAACGGCCGTAAGGCCTCTCCAATCATGCAAATCTATATATATATATATACACATATATACGTATATATATATATATACACATATCTCTATACATATATATATATATGTTCGAGCGGCCCACGATCGCCGTAGCCAAGAGACCGTCTTTTGTGAACCGGCGATAACCAAAGTTATCCGAGTGGGGGGAGGGGGCCAGCCGGTAACCTAACCTTCGCGCTGTGGGCAGCCCTGCATATGCCCGCGCGCACTGGTGCTGCGGCCTCTACACCTGCTAACGATGCTGTCGCGATGCTAGTATTGGTGCTGCGGCGATGCGGGCGCCACACCACAGGTGCTGCTGCAGCAGAAGCTTCTGCGTGCACCACAGCGCCTGTGTACACCCCGATACCTGCGCACACCACAGGAGCAACGTGCATTACAGCGTATGGCGAACACTTGCGCCACAGAGCTTCCGCGCACCTCCAAAGTCCCGCCGGGGCTCAAATCTGGAAAATCCCTGGAGGCCCGAACGTATCAAATTCAATGTGTAAGTTATTTATGATTATCGATTTTTCTGGCCAGGGGTGCGGTCCCCCCAATGTTGGCCGACCATATCTGTGCACACCACATCGCCTGTCTAGCGTGCGCCACGGCGCCTCTGTACACCACAGCTGTTTGTGTACACCGCAGCGCCTGTCTACACAACAGTGCCTGTATACACCACAATGCCTGTGTACACTGCAGCAGCCGTGTGCACCGCAGCGCTGTGTACACCGCACACACTGCCTGTGTACACGGCGACGCCTATGTGCACCACGGTTGCTGCTTCAGCACCATACTCGTGCGCCACAGCTCCAGTACAACAAAGTGCTTGCGTGCACCACAAAGCTGCGTACACTTCCAGGGCCCCTGGCGGGACCGAACTCCAGAAAATCGCAGATGATCCAAACGTATGAAAAAAAACAACATGTCAGCGATGTTTGATTATTGCATTTTCTTGCACAGGGAACTGTCTTAGGGACCCGCAACGCTTGTGTACATCATCATTAGCAATTGTGTGCACGGCAGCGAATGTGTACACCGCAGCGCCTGTGTACACCACAAGGTGTGGTAGACCGCAATGACCGTGCACCACCTGTACACCAGAATTACCTGGGATGCCTGCGTGAAAACTGATGTTGCAGCAACAGTTGCGCACACCACGAAGCCTGTTTCCACCTAATTGCCCAAGTGCATCACGATGTCCGCGTGCACCGCGCGACCTGCGTGCACTTATGCTTGCGTGTACCACAACGCAAGCGTACACAACATATCCTGCTGCAACACGAGCACATGCGCGCAACAAATCGCCTCGCTGCCTGTGCACAGCGCAATGCCTGTGCACGCGCTGCTCATGTGCACCTCCAGATGCCTATGGACGACGTCTGTCGTCGTTGGCGTTCGTCGTCGTCTGTCGTCGTCTGTCGTCTGTCGTCGTCGTCGTCGCCGTCGTCGTCTCCCCGTGCCACTCCGAGCCCCAGCGCTTCGCCGACGTGCATCCAAACACCAGCGCGCTGTTGCGCACACCACTGTGCCGTTGAACACAGCGATCCCTGCGAGCTCCCTGCGCCCCCCCCCGGACCTGCACAACCGGCCAGGTTCGGTTATCCTTGGGGGGGGGCGAGCCTGATAACCCGGGTTATCGCCAGACCCTGAAAATAGTCTCCAAGGGTCTCAACATCTCGAGATCTCTCGAACACGGGCGCTGACTGAGGGTCACATTGCCGCGGGAGGAAGAATCAGGAATCTTTCGCCGCTGGGAGCTCTCCCACCCCCCCAACAGAAAAAACGGGGGAGGAGGGCGTCCTCCTCCTCTGTGTAGCCAGGCGGGGCGGGCGGAAACCGACACATCAGAGGGCATGAGGAGCTGGAAAAGAGACGCGGCAAGCTCCGCCCCAATTACGACATCGCCCAAAGCATGGCACATCTGGATCGGGAACGGCCAAGAGGGGGGGGGGTGTCCAAGAGGGGTGGGTGGGGCATATCATGACCGGCGGCATGTGCGCGGCCCAGCGGGGGGGCCAGGGACGCAATGAAATACGAAGAGGCGCCATGAAATCTGGGGAAATGTCATGGCCCACGCCATGATATCCACCCCCCCCTGGTCCTCCTCCTCCTCCTCCTCCTCCTCCTCCTCCTCCTCTCCTCCTCCTCCTCCTCCTCCTCCTCCCCCTCCTCCCCCTCCCTCCTCCTCCTCCTCCTCCTCCTCCTCCTCCTCCTCCTCTTCCTCCTCCTCCTCCTCCTCCCCCCCTCCAACTGATGGTGGTGGTGGTCCTCACCCCCCTCCTTTCCCGCCCCCGACAGCTGCTGTCGGTGGGCCCCGCGCGGCCGAGGCGACGGGGGGCGGGGCCACGGAGCCCCGAGGCCACCGAGGAGGAGGAGGCGGCGCGCGCGGGCTCGTGGCCACGTGGGCGGCGAAACGAAGCGATGCTCCTCCTCCTCCTCCTCCTCCTCCTCCTCCTCCTCCTCCTCCCTGCTCACCACTTGGGATGCTCCTTGGGGATGCTCGGTCAAGCGATGCTCCTCCTCCTCCTCCTCCTCCTCCTCCTCCTCCTCCTCCTCCTCCTCCTCCTCCTCCTCCTGCTCACCCCCTCGCCGACCCGCCGAGGACGGGAGCCCGGCAGCCGTCCCACCGGCAGACGAGGGTGCGCTGAAGAGTCGCAGCGCCACGAGAAGTCACGGTAGGAGCTTCAAAGTGAGCTTAAGTCGGGCCTGTCCCCTTACAGGGGGATCGTCGACGAAAAATAAAAGATACCCCCAAAAATAATCAAAACATAGTCCAAACATAGTCTGGGGATTATGTTTTTAGAATATTGTTTGACCTTTTCGGGGTACTTTGGGGGTATTCTTTATTTTTCGTCGAAAACCCCCCTTTAGGGGGACACGCCCGACATAGCCTTACGCGCGTCAGCATCCCGACCTCACGCGGCAGCTCTCGCGGGCCGCCAGCGCGGCACGCCGCGCTGGAGGCGAGGGCGCTCACGTGGGCAGCCTGTGCGCCAGTGTCGGCGCAGCCGACCCCGCTTCCTTCCGTCGCTTCTGTCGGGGATGGACACACCTCCCTTTAGCAAAACGTGTTTTAGTGAAGACGACTTCGGGCCCAAACCCGGCGGGCGCAAGCGTGGAAAGTAACGGCCACGGCGCCCTCTCGAAAACCGAAAACGGACAATTCACTAATCGACGTGCCACTGTTGGGGGTTCTGTCCGCCCCCGCTTCTGTGGCGACTGCAGATCGACGCGGGGCGGGCGGCTCTCCTCGTCCTCCGGGAGCCCCGAATGCGCCTCCTCGCCGGCGCCCCCTGCGTCTGCCTGGCTCCCGTCCTCGTCGGCGCGCGGGCGCTGGGGGCAGGAGCGGCCCTCAGGTCGGGGAGCCAGGGATCGCACGCATTGGACAAGTCACGTCGGAGGGGTTTGCCCCAGCTTCGGCCTGGCCCTCGCTAGGCCCCAGGAGAGCCCAGAATCGAATCGATAAATCGGATCGGCGATCGAACTGAATCGGATCGGCGGAAATCGGCAACCGAGTCGGAAAAAGTCGAATCGGCGGAAATCGGCAGGCTCGTAGGCCTCCAATGAGAAATCGGAGCCCAAATCGAAATCTCAAGCCGAATCGAATCGGGATCGGAAGCCATCGAAATCGAATCGAATCGAATCGGAGGAATCGAAACGAGCCCTGAGGCCCTGGGACCGTCCAAAATGACAAACGCTAGCGATGCCGTGCAGAAGAGATCAGGACCTTGGACCTCTGGGGAGTTCCAGGTGTTCCACGCCAGGCGTTTCCGCCCAGCTGCGTGCCTGGGGACCATCGCAGATCGATCTGGCTGGAAAAGTGCGTTGCAAACAAGTTTTCCAGACCGACAGACCCAGCTGGAATGCTGGAACAAAAACTCGACTGGAATTTTCAATGCAAAAGGTCCTGGTGCTATGTTTGAGCCCTCCTGGAAGGTCATGGAAGGCTCCAGCCGTGATTCTTAAGCGGCGTTGCAACTTTTTGGGCGGCCAAGGGTCGCCGGCGACGTC